ATTCTCCATTGGACTTTCGTCAGATGATGGTCCAATTAGTGCAGTATCAAATGGCATACTTTTCCCAAAGGGGCAATCCATTCCAAGTGTTAAAGTTCTAACATTTCACCGAAGTAGTTTGTTCCATTTGGAAGCGTTCTATGCTAATCCAAATGAACTGCCACCGGGGACATCTCCTAAAATCAGTTGCTTCACGGTATGCACTACCACTACCCTTACTCTAAACATGTTACTAACGTGAAGGACTTCAGATCTTTCATGTGTGCATGTGCCCGAGCTTTAACTGACTTCTTTGGCCATCCTTGGCCTGTTTCTTTATGTCCTTTTTTTCATTTATCTATTTTGGGTGTGTAAAAGGTGTGCAATATAGCAACATAGCTTCCATGAGCTCAATGATTCTTATAGAACATTCTAATTTCTCAAGAAAAAAATTGCATTTGGGTAATGGTAGATTTGTTACGATGATCACCTCTATAGTTTCCCACTTTTGAGCTGTAAAATTATTGCAGTCGATAATCTAGTTTAAATGTTGTACATTTTTTCATGCAACCATCACCAAGTGTTTGGTCTAATCTAGTTTCCTTGGATGCATCAAAGACCATCACTTTTTGTGGATCTTAAGCTCATGCGAATCAACAAAATCCCTTTTCTTATTCTTCAACAAGGGGTCAATTTCATTAGCTATTAAACTATCCCATATTCTTATTTAAAAGTACAATAGGGGCTGAGTTACAAAATATTGCAGTCCAAATGAACCTTCTTTATGCATGTATGCATTTGTTGTAATCATGATGTATTTTGGAGCATGAGGAAATGCAATAGATGTAACATCATCTCAAATAATTATCCAAAATTGATCATGCAGTAAAATGACAAGCTATAATTTTGGTTCTGTCTAATAACATTTTCATTAGACAAAACCATCTTTGATATTACAGGACATTGATACTGCCATCCCTTGTCCTAATTATCCTAGATGTAGCATGATGCGTTAGTTGTCATGCTACATCTGCATGCTTACATCTTGTTGATTTTTTGAGGACTACAGAGTAACAGTTCTGATTGGTTGCTAGGCGTTTCCATTTTTCGTGCTACACTATAGCTTTGTCATACATTGTTTCTTCTTCATGCCTTCTCCTCGTTATTTGCTTATGTATTCACTGGCCATTTCTATGTAGATTGGTCCTTTCCATGGGTCCCATGGCAGTAAGACAAGGATTAAAGTTAGAGTTCAACTAAATCTGCATGGCATTGTCACTGTCGAATCAGCTACAGTAAGTAAGAAGCCTCATTTTGATCTCTGTCCATTTTTTGTTACTCTCAGAGCTATTGTGATGTGCATAAACTTTTTCATGGTTTCAGATGCTTGAAGATCAGGTAGATGGTATAAAGGGTAATGACCATTCAAATAATGAATCAATGGATGTTGACCCTATCACTAATGAGACAGTAGCAAATGGTGAGGACACTAACAATAGAAAGGATGAATCTTCTCATAAATCTGTGAGTATTATTGTCATCTCTCTGCCTCTGATTATTTTTCTTGTATGGGAATCATGCAATAAATTATTTTTGTTTTTTAATTCATTTTTTATTCTGGAGCGAAATTTTGTCTTCTGTTGATAGCATGTCCCTGTTTTTTTCCTACTTGGATATGGATTGGGTCACAGATATCATTTATATGGATGTTAGAACTTTGGAGTGAAAATTTGACTACTGTGCCTTTTCAGGCTGATTCTGTGAGGAAAGATAAAACTACCAAAAGACATGTGCCAGTGAGTGAGAACATCTATGGTGGAATGACCAAGGCTGAGATCTTGGAAGCTCATGACAAAGAGCTCCTGTTGACTCAACAGGACAGAGCTGTGGAGCGAACCAAAGAAAAGAAGAATAGCTTGGAGTCCTATATTTACGAGATGAGGAGTAAGGTACCTACTTGTGTTCATGAGACGTACACATATGACTGGTTTGTTATTCAGGGTATATTATTCATGCAGTCATCCAATTCATCTCCTTTGATACATGGTTTTGCTTTTCATGTGGTCATAATTACTTGATACTGACAGATCTCTCTTTCATTTTTCTGAAACGGTGAGACTAATAAGTTTATCAAATGAGATACCCTGTTCTGTAGTTAGTGAAGAACTGGTTTTTGAGACTGTGTAGAGTGCCAAGCTGTGGATGCCATGAGTTGAACACCCATTCCTGTCAAACATTTTTACGTCTTTCTCCATGCTACTTGTCATATACAAGCTTTTAAAACGTATGCGTCTATTTTCTTGATGGGCTTTGATTTAAATATAAACTATATAATTGCATATATGGATAGCTCTTTGACACCTACCGGAGCTTTGCAAGTGACCAAGAGAGGGAAGGCATATCTAGAAGTCTGCAAGAGACTGAAGAGTGGCTTTATGAGGATGGTGATGATGAAACTGAGGTGGCTTACTCAGAAAGACTAGAAGATATAAAGAAGGTTTAATTTTACTTCTCCAATGCTGCTGCTTGTCTTTTTATACCCATGCATTTTTTCCCATCATAATCATAATATATATATATATCTTAATTCCTGTAGCTTGTGGATCCAATTGAGAATCGGTATAAAGATGAAGAAGCAAGAGCACAAGCTACAAGAGATCTGTTGAAGTGCATTGTGGATCACCGCAAGTCTGCAGATTCCCTCCTTCCCCAGCATAAAGAATTGGTACGTCAATACGCAAGCCAGTAGATATTATAGCGAGTCTGCTCAAAAATCCAAAGTAATTTGGCTTTGTTGTTTCAGATCATAAACGAGTGCGATAAAGCAGAGCAGTGGCTGAGAGAGAAATTACAGCAACAAGATTCCTTGCCTAAGGACAATGACCCAATTATATGGTCAAGTGATATTAAAAGCAAGGCGGAGGATTTGAAACTGTATGATGCTTGATCTCTCTGTTACCCTATTTGATACTCGTTATTTTCCTGTTGCATGGGTCATACTGCTAGGAAAATTTATGTCAATGGTAAAATAACCTAAATCTTAGCGTTTTTAGGTGGAATAGTGAAAAGTCAATCTTGGAGATCGTCGATCTCTAAGCAATCGCCCCATAAATAACGTGTAGGATAGCATTGTGTGTGTGTGTAGAAAACATTGTTCCGCTCTCTTACATGTCGGTCATCATGATTTTACTTCTTTCTTTTTTTTTTTTGGACCCGGGTCATCATGATTTTATTTCAGATTATCATCAATGTTATATTTGTGGCTGTCAGGTTGTGCCAACAGGTGCTGGGATCCAAGGGTTCGTCAACAGTTCCAGAGGACAAAGGCAAAGACAAGCCAGATACTTCCAGTCACCTTTGATGAATCTCTTGATATTGATAGGCAAAGACACAAATTTTCATTATACTCCTGACTAAATTTTCTCTTTTTCTTTTCTGGTTCTTTGTCTTTTTGTTCTGGAAAGTGAATAGGTTCAAGTAGGTGGATTGATTAGGTTATATGGATCAAATATTTGTGTGTTCTAAAGCTTGCAACTCATTTTTGTGTTCTCTCATTTCTGTTGGCACATCTAGAGTTGTCCACTGTACCTTTTTCTGATGTCCATCCAACTCAAACCAGTTGAGCAAATACTTGGCGACGAAGTTATCAATAAATTGTGCTTTATACTATTTAGGATTACGTATAGTGTTCTTGAGGCAAATGTTATGTTATCCATCTTTACCATGCAACTCTAGTTAACTGTTGACGAATTAACACCAAAAGCAATAGCGTTCCTATAATAATAAAATCAGACATATAATGAAAGGAATGGATTAAGTAACGAACAACTGCTTCAACTGTCATGCAATGCTTATCTCCAAGGTTCAGTTTAAATTTTTTGGTTAAAAAAAAAAAGCTTAGTTTAATTTTGGGTTTCTCTGTTTCAAAATTTTTATTTACCAAATAAAATGATATATATTTATATATAAAAAATTGAAAATGAATTGCCAGCAGCAAACCGCCTTTTTTTTGGTGACAAAATTTATAAACAGCCTTCTTTATGATGCTTGTCGTGCGTCAACAATTCTAAAGAATGTTCTACCGAACAAAAACAATTATAAGTATTCTAGGACCCTTTCGTCTTTGCGAGAGGCACTTCTGAAGAGAATACACGTATAGGGGGATGCTTATACATGCATATATGAGCGTGTGTATTCATTTTTGTAGTCTGATTTTTAGTTCCTCCCATTGCCTGCCTGACTTCGTCTACCTTGGTTAGTCAAGTTATTTGCTGATATGCCTGTATGTACTGAGTCTTGAGCTCATACTTCACATTCTCAACTGAATCCCAGTCACAAATTAAATCAAAACCACTGAACTTACCACTTCAACATGCAATTCTTCAACTTTTCTTGCCAGTTTCTTTAAGCTTCGGTCCCCCTGGATTAAGACATCAATGATGACTTTAGACAAAATCCTATTGGTCATCAACTTTCTGGCTTGCAAGTCAACTCTTAGTCTGCCATGTTCTTGAGCTGCTAAAAAGCATTGAAACTGCATAGAACATTCATGATTATCAGGAAATTCAACATCCCAGACGTCCACATCTGGAAATATACATGCATGAGAAGAAATTTCAGACAATCTAGGGCCTTGGTCCATCTTTGTTGGGCACTGTTGACCAGTAGGACCACAACTCTAGAATCTACAGAACCACTTGGGTAGCTCTAGAAGAACTCGGCATAGGGAATTCGGTCGACATCAAATGGCCTTAGATGACAGGGAATTGTTTGTGTGAATTTTATCCCGGTCACTTCACCATGCAACAAGAGCCCCGAATCAGATTCCGCGCGTGTTAACTAGCTGTTTGCCAATTTCCTCAACACATAAAAAGAACCCGGTGGTAATTGAACCAAAATCTTGCCATGAGATCTATGACTAATGTGCAAGATGTGGGAAAGACAGACAGGAACCAACGGCTTTACACTAAGATTCAGTTCGTTTTCTTCTTGGCACTGGTTCCCTTCTTTGATTTTTTGAATCCTGACCCACTTTCCTGCAAAATTCAAAGTCATTCAGAGCCAGATCCATCCGACAAATACAGCAATCACTAGAGGATGCAATTCACATTTACCCTCCGATAATGCCTATAAGCAGCTCGGCCTGTCAACTCCTGCCCATCTTTGGTGACATATACCTGCAATGAACAGAGGATCAAGATCTCACGTAATATGCCAAACTATGCTTTGAACTAATAATCGCATATTTAAGCCATTCACTTGATAAATTTCAATTAATGATAACTACAAGATAAATGCAAGCCAGCAGCATTAGCATTATTGCCATTATATGTTCAAATAGTGAAGACAGTCTAATATATTGCTGTACAAGCCATCAAAATTTAACATTTAAACCTTCATCAAAACATAACAACTACATTTGGACATGGAGAAGTTTGCTGGTGGTTAGAAGAGCCATACCACGCAGTGCGCATAACTGTCAGCAGTATTGAGAAATTTGAAAAGCAATAACCAAAAACTATCCATTATGCATTGATTATAAAAAATACTCTTCCAGTCCTTAATGTAGGATCTAATTAGGGAGTTAATATTAGTCCTATATGTAAGACTTATTCAACATGTTTATCAATTTTTTTCCAAATTAACCTTATTGATATTCCCCCAATAATGATCAAATAAGAGAGGGATGGAGGGAATTAAGAAAGATACTTAAGTGTCTTAGAAAAAACATATCATATTAAATAATTTAACTAACATTCTTAATCTATTCAATTAATTAATGAGATCTTACATTAAGAACTAGAAGAGTAGAATAGCCAACCTAGTGCTACATATTAAATATATAGCAATTGAAGCAATGGTATCTTACAGAATGCCAGACCCAAAAAAAAAAAAACAAAAGAAAAAAAAGGCAGAATGAGAGTAACAAATTAGTTATTGTCTAGATGTTGGCATATACAAAGGTAAATTAAGGGCATTGTGTTATACTAGAAAGGAATTCCAAGGATCAAATCACACAGCACTATTTCCACCGAAGACAAAAATCATGATACGTGATGCTCCTACATTTCACTATATCCATTAGTATCCTTACAGCATACAAGAAGGATTTTCCTCACATGATAATCATAAAGTTACCATTTTTAATCAATCAGTAGACATCATTTCTATGCCTGAATGTGCCGCATCAGTCAAGTGAATAATTTCAATTAGTTGACCACATTAAAAACACTAAACAAAATATGAAAGTATCAGTCTGGCTCACCTTTCTTCCATCTGATGCCGTAAACCAATGACCCACAGATTTACCTTTGCTTGAACACGTCTTCTGCCTGCATCCTTCGGCCTGTTGGCACAGTTCTTTGGTTCCACCCATTTGCAGAAGCATGCAAGATTTCTGAAGAAGCAGGCATGTTTGCTTTACTTTTTCCTTTGACAAAGTTTTTGTTTTACTTCTTTTGGCTGCTGTCCTCTTAGAAGATTCCCCACCGTCTAAAGAAGAATTAATTTTCGGAGTCACCCAGCCCCCAGAAGCATGAACAGTTTCTTCAACAGCCACTTCTTTTTGTTTCTTTCTTCCCTCTAGTCGAACTTTTCTCAACACAACCATTCCGAACTTCCCTTTCTTTTGGAAGCTTCTCCATTGCCAAATTGTCCCCTGAATCAAAATAAACCCATAATGCATCATAGCCTCCAGAGATTAGTCTATCATTTTAAAACTAATACCAATAGATGCCAATGGTCAGATAAAAAGTCGACAGAATGTACATGTAATCAATATGTGATGCGTTAGGTTGTGGTTCACTTTGTCAACCCCTAGCGGATAAAAGCACAGGCGACTTCGAACTAATTGCCTATTCTTGGATCCTTGTGGAAAAAATATTGATGGGCTGGAGGAGGTGGATAAGCTGAATTCCATATTTGTTCATTCCTTTGACAGCTGGTGGACTCAACAAGCTCTCATTGTGACTTGTGGATACTGGTGTTTCCATGTCTTTGTCCATTGCAGAACGGAAGTATTCTTCCAAACCTCATTCAGTGCAGGTGTTGGAATTGAAAAGCTCTTCACTGGAGAGAAATCTTTCCATAGATCCTGATTTTGGTGCCTCCTAATTGATGCTTTTCTACTTTGGTCAAAAGAAGTTACAAATTCGCTTGACTTACATGATGGTTCCTTGAAGCATGATCAATCTTGTGGCCAACCCTAACATCTTCACTTACAGGCCTCAGATCAATCAAATCAAATCAGTAACTGAAACCTACGAAGAGGACTAGTTGTCAACTTTGGAAACATCAACCCACTCTGGCCCATCTCCATTGTGGCAGAACCCAGGACACCTCCTGAAGATTCTTTTATTTTCTTTTGTTTGCAGTTTCCAGATGAATGAGTAGTTAAAACTCCAGACCCTTCAATGAAACTTTGGAGCTGCTACATAAAGGTTGATTCCATTTTGATGGGCGTGCTTGACCTGACATGGAAGAAACACAATAAATTTAGTGACAAATAAAGCATAAGCAAATCAAAATATGATTTGAAATTTGCACACAGGGAAGAGTAACTATAATGCAAGGACTGAAATATGGGGTTCATCGAACCATGTCCATTAACAGATGTTATAATCGATAGGGTTTGGTATTTCACTGTATTAAAAGGTGATAACAATTTATATGGCTGCACCCATTGAAGACCTAATGATTCTAAACACCTAGAGAGGCCTAATTACTTGAACTAATGAAGTAGTTCTCAAATCATATATCCTAAGAACCACCGAATAGTGATGCAAAACTAGAAGGATCGAAGGAAAGAGAATTTCCAACCCCCACCTTCTCCTTCGGGAACGCTATTAAGTTCAGTTCGAAACAGGTATTAATTCAATGAGACTTCTTTCAATTTTCCCTGCCTCCCGACTATATAAAAGATCAATAAATGCACAACAAAGTACTGACCCTTCCAATCAAGGAACCTCCTCTTTTGAGAAACGTTATTACGAAATCCAAGACAAGAAGAGCAGATAGAAGAGAGGCGACAGGTATAAGCTGTTACCGTGAAGGTCTTCCTCGTCAGAGAAATCCTCGATATCATCATCACCGTCAAACCCGACGGAAGCCCCTCTGCCTCTGGACGGACGACGCGACCCATCACCTGGCCCTCGGCGTAGCCTCTTCAGAATCCGAGGTGGTGGGTCAGGAGCCATCCCGGGTCGGACTCGGCCACATCGGGGCCGAAGCCTTCCTCATCCTCCGCGCGCGCAGAAGCACGGTAGGACTGAGCGGAGAACGAGGAGCTGATTCATCGACAGTGTGATCCAAATCAAGACCGAGAGAGAAGGAGGAGCTTTCACAATCTGCCATCGAAGCAGAACTACACGGAATGGGAAGTGAAAGATGAAATGTAAACGAAAGATCCGAAGAGTTGGGTTTTGAATTTGAGAAGAAAATGGAGGGCAATTGATGAAAGTAGAATAATTTGGCGGGTCGGTGAACGAGGGTTGGGTGAACCGTGGAAAAGTAAAACGCGGGCTGGCCAGTTCGGTCCGTCCGGATTCACCCATTGTTATATAATTTTTTCAATAAAAAAGGTCGTAATTATTTTTTATATAAGAGAATACCACTGCAAATAGAAGAATGATATATAGCTGCAAGATGACTCACTTGTATTTAAATCCAGTTATAACAATATAAATTGAAGGATGATGAATTTTTAAAAATATAATATACATCTCTTTATTTTTTATCATTTTAACACACATTCGAACTTTTTATTAAAAAAAATTTTCCATTTAGATTTTTAAATAATTTTCATTTTGAAATTATTTCAATGATTATTAATTATATTTGTTTTTTATGTTCAATTTTTTAGAATAAAATGACATCGTGTAATGATTTCTCAAAATATCAAATTAAATATCTATTTCAATATGTATTTGTGTACTTACAAAAACCTAAGTTTTGCCAACACAATTATTGCAATATGATATTAACAAGATATATAACTATTGCCATAAATATATAATGCTTTTAGACC